TCAAGCTACCATTGTTCTCTGAACTCGGATTTGTCAGTGTGGAATATCTTTCGAGATTACAATCCCAGGTCACTAATATCAAACTCACTATACAAAAATGACAGATAAAAGCCGATAAATATTTGTCGAAAGCTGATTCATATCGTGTGGAAACAGGCTGATGCGTTGAGCAAGCTTGAACATTTTTCAGGGATCTCAAAAACTGGCGAACAACCTGGCTAAACAGTGGAATCTCGATCAGCAGTGCAAAAAGTCGGTTATTTTCGTGTTGTCGACTCAGGATCATAAATTCTACTATTCGGGTGAAGATAACACTGGATTGAGTTAGTGATTTTTGATGTGATTTCGTTCAGTTTAACTTGTCGATTTTTTTCAAATTCACATTCTTCAATCATCAGAACTGATTTATTCATGGGAACTACGCTGAAAAAATCTTGCTATGGAGGAATCAATTGATTGTTGATGCAAAAATGCTGGAAGATCGCATTTATACGCATGAAATGGACGCGCATATTAAATTCGTTGCCCACTATGAATAGGTTTTTGAGGCGAGCACACTCACAGTCAGCTTAAGCTTGCCAAGAAAGAAAAAATGCTAATGTTCGACGAGAAATCTTCAAATTGGAACGGTTTAAATAAATTGTGGAATGTGGACAGTAGTTGGTAAATACNTGCTTTTGCATTTCATTGTTTCTGTCAAAAATTCCATAACATCAAATCAAAATTTGAATAATTGATTTTTTTTAGCGTCAGCAGATTTTGAAGCAATTGTTAGTGGTCAACGACAGTTACTGGATGAAGGTCAGTTCACAAAGGCTATCGTCAATATCCTCAAGCAGATTGGAGGTGAGAAAAATCAACAAGCCGGAACGAGAAGTGACTTAGGAGGTACAACAAGAGGTGGCTCAAGAGGTATGCAATGGCTTTGAATTTCGAAAATTGAAATGCAAAGAAAGAGCAAAAAAAAAGAATTAGTGACAAAAAGCTTTCCCAACACTTATTTTAAAAGCTTTATGGAATTGATCAAAAGATAAGCCTAATAATATCCATCGAAAGAGAAGTGTATAACTGGAATCATTGAAATCTTTTAAAGGTTCTCAAGACAACGGAAATGGTGCATCGCTTGTGAACGTCTCGATTTTGCTGGCATTCCTTGCCGTCATCTTACGATTTCTCTAGTCATTCTCAGCTAACTCTTACAATAGTTTTCATGCTCGTTTGGGATTGTTTTCCGAAAGTCGATTCTTCTAAATCTAGATTCGATGTTCTAATGTACAATGTACATGATTTTGCATTCGACTACTTCAACTCGCATGCTTTTTCTGCAAATGTGATACGCATGTTCACTAGCAAATTCTGCACTCGATAAACCGTTCTTCGTATGTGTACGTGAAACGGCGAATACTGAATCATTCAATTAGCTTTGACTGGATCCGTTCGATGAATGTAAGAGATGGTCCATGCATCTGCTGTCATCACATCAATTCAATCAGCCACAATTGTATTCATATGTCCAACACCACGTCACACCAGTTTCCTCGAAAATTCTCTTCCGTATCAAATCATGCATTACTGTTTCGAAACAAGGCACACCTTTTCCTGCCTATTGTAAGTACGAACGAAAGCACTGAACGAGTCTGCTGATCTTCTTTTACTCTCCGGCAGATTCATTTGTTTTTTCTTTGTCTTTTTTTCGTATCATATGTTCGCTAGCTATCATAAGTGTTGATATATTCGCGGAATTAATACATCGAGAAATTTTAAAAATTTTTTCATAAATGTGTTCATTTCATACATTCGAATGCGTGTACTGCATACAAATACCGAAATTGTATTGTTTATCCTCCCTCATGTATGTGCCTCACTGAATTTGAGAAACGTTTGGCATCGTTAATGTATATGTTCTGAATGATTCGTTGATAATTGAATAAATGAAATGTGTAGTTGCCTGAGCAGTTGTTGTTTTCATTTTGCTATTGATGAAGCGAATTGCTGTGTTGCGCAGTAAATTCAAAACTTCTCAGATAGAAAATGTTTGAAATTTCTGTTTTTTAGACCAAATTTTATCAATTAATAGTATGATATCCCTGGCTAGACATTATTCTTGAAACTAAAAGTTAATCTGAATGAATATGCTACCCACCAAGAGCGATTTTTTCTTTTAACAATAAGAAAGGAACCAAAACTGCTGAACGTTTAATTCAATTACTGGCATTATCTGCTTTGTTGAGTTAAGCCAGCCGGTTGACCTGAGGAAATGTTTCAAATCCAATTAGTGATATTTGGCTTTGATGCGGTATTAGGCCTGAAGTTAATTGCAATTTTTCAACTACTATATGAATGAATGATGCGTTTCGCTGAAGAAGACTAAATAAACGATAGATATTGTTGAATACATATTGAATTGAATAGTCTAATAGAGTAGTTTTGTATACACTCAGCACATCATTGAACCTTCCCTTGAGGTTTCATTCAGCTAATTATTATGCTGTCTGTGCTTGGCAATACGAGATGACGAGAATTATTCAACAAAACATCGCGTTTCAAATAAAACGCTTTCCAATACTCTTTCTTATCGCTTCAATTGGCTTTACATTAGAAATTATGCATAATTCACTTTCAACATATTATTGTGCTCACCGTATTTCTGTCTCTAATGAGTGTTTACATCGTTTAAGCAGAATTCATTTAATCCATTGTTTTGCTGAGTTCATTTCCTTATTCCAAATTCAGAATTATAATGGTTGTTGTTATTGCTGCTGCTGATGTAGCTAATGAATTTCATTTTAGTATTGTCAACAAGTTTCAAGAGAGTTATGCTACGCTTTCAAATTCACTGAATATGTTGACAAAACAATGCACAATTTGAATTTAATCAACCGAATCGAATAAATTATATCAATTTTGCAACAACGCATGTGCTACATCTGGATTGTCTGCATCAGTTGGATGAATATGCAGCAGTACATCTAAACGAATTCTAAGAGGCATGCACTCAAACTTGAGCAAATTCCATCAGAATGGGTGTCTTATCTCCCTATTATCCAATATCTAGAGATATCCATATTCAGCGAGCATCCGAAATTTTCTTCGAATGTTTATTTTAATGAATCCATCCATCCATGCATGCGTTCGTCCATCGCAAATCTCTGTATGAGCCAATAATATGAATGATATAAATGTGCTTAGTGTATGAATTCACAATGACGGCCGACGACGGCTAATGATAATGGGGCTGAATGAAAAATAAAGAGATTGATCTCTATAGAAATGAGCACGAGAAGACGCATTAATGCAACGTATTTTGCCTGTTTGTTCATACATGAACTGAGAGCGTCCAGCACTAATTGCCTCAATTCACGCAATATTCACCTAGGTATACGACAATTCTTCTTATTCACGGCAATGCTTCTTGTTTCCTCTTCACTTCGTATTCTCAACAACCGATACAAGTATCAATCACGAAAGTGTAAAATAATCAAGTTGATGACAAAAAGACTCACTCAAATCTTATGAATCTGCTGACTGAATGGAAAAATCAGCAATAATTTTCGGATACTTAGAATGTACTTTTGTTGAACAATACCCGTCTCATTTGTTACATGAGTGCTGGCTGCTCTGTCTTTGCAGGCCCGCGTTCTGTTCAGAGGGATTGATTCTTCTAGCGAAAGATAATTCCTCAATTCCGAAACCTTTACTTCACCCATTCAATGAAAAAACGACCTATCCTAATCAATGAAATTATGAATTCGGTGGCACATCCGACGTAGGTGGTTTCGAACATGCAGAATAATGACGGATAATTGCGAAAAAAAACCCGAAAAACTGGGTGATGCTTTTTTGTGAAGCAGCAGCAGCAGTGGCAGCTCATTACTGATATTTGGTCACCTAAACTGGCCAAATTAGAATTCGAATCCAATTTTGTGAAAACGTAGGCAGCAACAATTGCTTGGGCGACACAAGTAAATTGCTCGTTCAATGCAAACGCGTGACGTGATGGAAAAGCAAATTCGTAGAATACTCTCGAAATAGCTTCATTAATCATCGCCATCGGTTTATGGTCATGCGATCCTAATTGCTTAGCACAAAAATAGCTCATGATTAGCTGAGGACGGCTCAAATAAATCGCATTTTACCGATGAATCTCAAACATCTCACTATCAGAGTCGAGAAACTTTCATCATACGCCTCTTTGCACCCATCGCAGTCAGTACTATTGCCATCGCTGCATCAGAACCGCACATTCGATTGATTTATGAGTCAAATGCGGGCAAAAGCCTTCGTCCCGTACGATAAACGAACCAACTGTTCGATTGAATGCAAATTGTGCGTTTAACTCTCTTTATGTTATGATTACACTAATAATGATGTTGACTACGATTTCGGTGATGAGATGAAGACAAATTCTAGTTCACATTCCATCTGCACTTATATTATACGAGCTCCATCATACGTGCCGTGCCGTACCTTATTTCAGATGCTTTGACAAAAACGACGCATCTAAACGATTTCAGCGATTCTTTCACACCTATCCAAAAAAACGTGTATAGTTTCATAGAGTGATACTCAATATGTGCTAAATGCACGCATGGATCAATTAATTTGAATTTGAGGAACAAGATCCGATTAGGATATGATCTCTTAGAACAGTGGTTCTCATGTTCCGGTGCTCCATTACCCCTTTTGACGATCTAGCAGGTCGTCGTTACCCTTCTCCCCCCCCCACACCCCCACTGATGTAAGAACCTACTATTTCTACAAATGAAATCTGGTCCGGAAACTTCTCACCCATTTTAAATGCAAATTGTGGTATTTCAGTGCTCTCAGTTTAATTTACACGCGGTGGCAATGAATCTTTTTGGATTCATATTTCATGAATCGGTTCTAGGTGATGTCGATTCCTCGGATCTTCTGGATTGCTATCCTGAACATTGCCGTTGCATATGGGAATCGTATAGGTTACTTCCAGATCTTGTTGGCACGTTCACGATGATATTCAACATAGCTGGACTTGCTCTTAAACTGTTGTGTTGATGATTATTGCAGTTGATTATGATTGCATGAAAAACTACTGTCTATGACACGCTCACTTCGAATTGATTCAGATATATTCTCATTCTTTTCAGACGTGTTGTGTTCACTCTCATAGCTGTTACATGCGAATATCGTTCTATTGATGAGTTTTTCTCATTCACTTCGTATCATTTCACTTTACAGTTCGAATCAAATTCTTATTCTGTANTGATAAAAGTTACGAGAGCGATTGCGACAACAAGGAAAGGAATGAGAACTCTGTTAAAACATTGAATCCGCAAACTTTCTATTGAATCCGCATGAAGTTTTTATGTGTGTGTGCGTGTTGGTGGTTGGATGTATTAGCGAGCTATTCGTTCGAACAACTGGAATCGTTCATGCTCTAAGCAGCATTACTGCAAAACTGAATTGAAAAGTCATTGGAGTATTCTAGTGAAATTTTTAATTCTGAGAATTCTCATGAAAACTAATTGAGAAATCCGCCTGTTCCAGTCAACCGTAACTAACGGATAAATAACGCAGGCAAATCGCATGAGTCTGTGCAAGTTTCATTCAATGTTTCTGAATGATGTTGATAGTAGATGTGTAAGCGTCGTCGACGTCGTCAGCATATTTACTCTATCGTCGCAATTAAGAGCAAAAACAATATCAAATGTACTTTATGATCATCAACACCGCCAAAAGGCAGTAACAATTCGAGAATATTCACTTCAACTGTTGACGAAATTCAATACTCATCACATTCACACCGCATTCATATTCAATTACTAACAATTCACTTCCATGCTCAATACCGCAAATTTATCCTTCACAACCATATAAACGTTGATTCATTTCCGACGAACAGCTGAGCATATTCATTATCGTGATCGTTTTCATATTTGAGTTTGACCTACTCTGTTCTGTTTCTTGGAAGCAATCGTTGTGAATGTCGAAGATGCAACCAAAAACGTTAACGGCATGCGAAATTTCAAAAATCCAAATTTCGAATAACACTTGAGAAATTCCATTTTCCATATTGCCCCTACACATTCAGCCTATGGACTGTGAATCGCAAAAGATCATGGTTCGGATAGCCTGAACAAATCGCCGAACTCCGGATGAGAGTAGGCATTTTTTAACGATCCGAAGAGTATACGCTGTGT